AAACCATTCTATGAGTCTATGATTCTATGAATGACCTAATACAGCCACCAGTAGAGATACAAGTATGAACTAAGATCATTAACAGCGAGATTGAGTATCCTATTATCATGAGGATACGCTGCTCAGTCCCAGTGTTATTACTGCATTCTGTTTACTGGTTAATCAATCAATGATCCTGTTATATCCGCCGAAGTTATTCATTAGATATTGTCTTTCATAAATGACAGAACTTGATCATGTGACTTGCACAAATAAAGCACAACACTCCCCCAGATCCACACACACACACACACGTACACCAGTTCTCTTACCATTAAATGTAAACAAAAGTGTCTTTTTAGTTTCGGGCAGTTTTGTAAGCTGACCCTCCCTGGTAGGAAAGAAAAAAGTGACTGGAATGAGTGAAATAAAATACAGGCATACAAAATACCTAACATTGTTAGGGAAAAATCTCATCAAGAATGAAGAGACACTTGCAAACTACTCGAAGAAAATAAACAAGATGAAAAGCCTGGCTGTAACTCAAATTTAAGTTTAAAACTATTCAGGTTCCTGAAGTGTTTTACTCAAAAGCATGCAGTGAAAAAGTGTTAATATAAAAAAACACCAACAGCACCATCCAATTAGACTGTCAGAGGTCATCTAAGCCCCAAGAAGGCCTGTCTATTTTTAATGCCATGTGCCAGTTTTACATATGCCCGGCTGTTTATACTACTACAGACTTTCTATAAATATCAGTTAGGGAAAAAAAAAACAACCCACAAATTATTCTAAAGAATTCAAGTCTTCACTGTTCAAAACCCCACAGTATTCTAATGTAAGAAAGTCAGACCTACATTGCACAGATCCCCCAAAGCCTACAAGGTACACGTATGGCTGTCTGATAATTAAATCAAAGTATGCTCCTTTTTTTGGAGGACAGTTTCAAGTTTTGATATAGATCGTTTATTTATATACCTGTAAGCATAACACATCCTTAACAAAAACCTACATGGTTAATTCAGGTAAGATAAATCACCCACCACTTGGCAATTCTGAAGCAGCAGCTAAAAGCACCTCAAGACTAGGAGATTTAGAGAAACAGAAGAGATGATTCTGCATCTGTGTATTTCTGAAGCAGAGCTGAGAATCAACCTGAACAAAAGTACCCAAGTGATGGATTCAGCAGCAGAATGTTTAGCCCTATCAGCTAGAGAAGGGCAAACAGCCTTAATGGGGTTTTGGGGTTTTTGTTTTGGTTTTTTTTTTACACTGCAGTTTTTTTTTTTTTTACACTGCAAACTGCTTAAACCTAGTTCTGGATGCATTCAAATAGCATCTGAGCTCCTGTGTTGAGTTCTCCTGCCATGTTATTTCTCAGCCCTTGAACTCTACCACACCATAAACCTTTAGTGGGATTACTCAATTGTTTTCCATGCAGCTGTGTACACTGTAGCTCTGTAGCTGCCAGGTGTTATCTGAAATTTGTAGCTATCCAAACTATAGCATGACTCACACACAAAAATAAATACTAAGGCAATACAGCACCTTGATCTTCTACACTAATGCAGCACTTGGAAGCATTGGGAGTGTATTTATTCACCTGTTTCACCTTTGCTCCCAATTTCTCTTTGTGTGCATTCCAGCAGGCTTCACACTGCAAACGATTTTGTCAGCTTTTATTTTGCTTAAGAGTTACAATAGCTACTGGGAGGAGAGATCTAGCTTTATACGTACTCTTGCATAAGTTTTGGACCGGAGAACTGGTCCGAGAATTGGACGGACTCAATCTTGTCAGCATAGTGCGTGAGGAAATGTATCATCTAAAAGAGAAACTGGGGTTAGTTTTTCCCAATACCAATCCATCTGCAGCCTACTCGCTCCATATGGGTTTGCCATATGTCACTCAGGAAACTGCTGTGCTCAGCTTGCCACAATGACACTGAAATTTAAACTGCCCGGTTTGGGGGGTTTTTTTTAGCTTTTGTTAGAAGGGGCCTCAATGCATGGAATTAAAGTGAGACAGTCAGATATTAGATATGGAACTCTCATTGGGGATTTTCCAATTCATTTGATAACAGATGTCAACTTTGAGGGCCTGCAGACACACCATCAACACCCTCCTTTGAACTGGCTCTTGAAGCTAACTTCCAGGCTTTGAAAGGCAGTTTTAAGTCTGCAGTTCATGTTAAGACTACCCCTTGCTACATAAAAGGAATCAAGACATGAGAATTACATCCTTCTCCCAGCTCTTAAGCTTCCTTAGGGTCTTGATATATCTAGATCTCACTAGGGCTCCTAGTGAGGACTCTCCTGTTGTGATGTTCACAGGACAAAGATTAGAACTTTTCTGCACAGGCTGTGAGTGCCAGCGTTACCTGAGGAAGATTTGTACTAATTCATTCAAGATTACCTTAGCGTCCATCATTCCCTCTGTGACCTCCCCCATCTCTGACAAGATAGCCAGTGAATCTGGAAGCCCATATTTTGCACCAGACTTAGGTTTATCACTGCAGAACTCACTCTGTTTCAAAGAGAACAAAGGGAAAAAGAGAAAAATAAACACAAGCGTGTAAACATCTTATCAGACTGAGCCCTAAAAGTACCTGGTAAGAAACAATTAAAATACACTAACTCAGTCTGGCTGGGGACATTTCAAGCATAAAGTTAATTAAAGTATGAATAGTCTTGAAGTATTTCCCTTCAATAGCGAGTACTTTAAGGAAAAATATAAAGCAATTGTAATACATCCGTGCTGGAATGCTCAAGTGGATTAAAGCATTTTGCTTATATTGTTTGGTAACAATAAAAACAACTGGCATCCGACCAACCACACTTTAGTGCTATTACTTAAAACAAGTTAAGAGAGAAAAGATTTGCAAACCACTGCTTGTTAGCACTGGATTCTCTGCAAGCTTCAGGGCTTGAACATATGGAAAGTTTTAATTTCAGATGACATAAAAGCAGATGACTTAGACCCAAACTTTCCACATTGCATATCACTAATTAGGTTTACTTTTCAATCCTTGAAAATAGATTAAATGAGGTGAAGTGACACTTGTGTGTATCCCGGCAATATACTTCAGCCTCCTCCTAAATGACCTGTACACCAAAAGGAAGATGTGAGCTGCTTCCAATTGCCTCTTGTCCCGCAGATCTGACAGCAGCTGGCTAGCACTTCAGATGTCTGATGGCATTAGACTTTCATCCATTACATGAAAATGCCTTTTCTCCACACACTAATTCCAACAGGTCAGTCATAAGTTTTCAGTTGTTCCCCCCAAAAATAGACAATCTAGGTATTAGAGGTTCTGATATCCTATTATTGATCATGTTAGTATTCCCAACATGAACGTGCATACCAGGTCCTGCATCTCTTTCTGAAGTCGCACCAGTGCTTTTCTCGTTCCAACAGCAAACACGTAGGTGTCCATATCTTCATCATTCATTGTCACTTTTATTTGCTGTGGGACAGAACGTGATTAGCCTTGGTCAGATTTATATGATGTCCTCTGCCTTCAGACTACTGGGCAAACGGAGACCAATGTCTTCTGTGACTTCAGTGTTTGTCTGACACTTTGATTCATAAGAATGAATACTAAGCGAGGCCATATACAGCTAAGATAAAGGTTGTTGATTTAAATTATAGATACATGGAAAGAGTATTCACAGTGCACACAGCCACTGTTATTTCAAACATAACCTCTCTTGACATTTATGTGGTTAGAGATTACCCTCATCTCTAAGAGCAAGGGCCAGGCGAAAAGTAATGTTACAGGATGTAACATCCAGGCCAGCATGTGCATTAAGCAGCTCTGTTCAGGCAGACTGAACAGGCAGAGAACAATTATTAAGTATTTCAGATCATAAAACCATTTTTTATCAACGTGAGGTCTTGAAGCATGATAGACTGTTCACAAAACCACTCAAAACAATAAAACTCATAGATAAAAATTTCCAGTCATCAGCAGTTTGCATTCTACAGGCAGAAAAGAAATACGAATGATTCTTTCAGATTCTTCAGACAGTTACTGAACTGGAAGATATGGAATACTATGGAAAGACACTGAGCAGTTCACTTGTGTGTCATAAGAACAATCAAAAGCAGCAGAGCAGAACCAAAAGAACACAACAATTTATCACAGCTAATCTAGAGAGCTGAGTACGTACCACTTGGTCAGACGCTGGCCTCATCATGCGCGCAAGAACGTTCAGTAGGTCTTGCCTCTTGAGAAACTAAAAACACAAGTTTGCAAACACAGAAGAAGATAGCTGAATATACCTACAGTGCAGCACTTCATGGGGAGATAGCAGGGGGGCTCAAGGAAAAAGAACACAGCTCTAAGTGGATGTTTTTCATAGAATAATTTAGCTTTGGAGGGCCCTTTGGAAGTCACCTGTGCTGCTCAAAAGCAGGTCTACTTTCTGCATTAGATGAGTTTCTCAGGGCCTTGTTCCCTCCAGTTAGGAGCCAAACCAACATGTGGGGCTGTCCCATCCCAGGTGCAGGACTCTGTATTTGTCTTTGTTGTATACTTCCTTAGAATTCCTGTTGGTCTATTCCTCCAACATGCTAAAGTCCCTCTAAATAGCAGCTGGGCTCTTCAGCCTACAGTTACCTCTGTTTACACTCTACTCCTGGTTTCTATACTTTCTCTAAGCATCCACTCTTACCTACTTTGGTGGGCAGAATACAGGCCTGTACGGATCAGACCAGTCTTCCTTTGACATGTGCATACTTAAAACTCTGTCTCTGCATGTGAGCAAAAGAGTCAAGCTGGGACTCCTTGTTGCTCAAGGAAAAGCCTCTAAAGCGTGAAAACTGGAGACAGGAGAACAATACTACAAACTGCCTCATCCTTACCTTGAGCTGGATGAGCATTCCTTCACAGCACACTCTTCCAGAGCACCACAAGTTATATATGTGTTCATTCTCTTGATTTAGTTTCCCAGTGCTTGTAGCTTCTTTATTAGTACCATCATCCCCTGAAGAAAACGACAGTGAAAGAGAACTGCAATCTGAAAATCACAACTTTAAACACCAAAGTTTATCGGTAGGCTTAGAGCTCAGTTGTTACTGGATTACTTTATTATCACCCTGATGTTTCTGAATAATTAATACTCAAGACCATATAATTTCAGCACTGGAAGACTGGCACACTATTTGTCTACACACACAGCTGTCATTAGTGCTATCTTGCATCTGCATAGGAAAGGTTACTCTTCTCTAGAGCTGGTGTAAAACCAGCTTTATTCAAATAAACTAAAACCAGATCCTAATCATTATGGAACATTATGGAACTCACCAACAAGAGCAAAGTTACTTTCTAGCAGCTCCCTGTGAGTATTGAACCACGCATGAGCCAGACGGTTGTTTTTGTTCTTCCCAATGATGTAATTCATGATGTAAGCAAGAAGACCTGTTACCATCAGGATCTCCATGTAATAACTCTCCCAACTGTTTTGAAGGTGAGCAGGAACCTACGGTAAGGGAAATGGAGATGGTGTTTTACATACTGAATGAGCAGATTCCATAGACACAAACAATTGGGAAAACACAGAGAACTGGAGAAGCTTCATCCCAAACACAGCAATAAGCTTCACAAAGGCGACAGGACAGAGCTAAGCCTACATAATACATTTGGCTCTACTGGGACACAGTAATTGTACAGGAAACAACTGATAACAGCATTCCCAAAATACCTGCCTAATACAAACAAAATACTTCTCTCTTCCAAGTGAGCCTGTGCTAGCATATACCCCTCAGAGCAGTCAACAGCCCAGCATTTCAACCCACTGATTATTTGAGCTTGATGTTGCCCAAGGAAGTTTACAGGTTGCCCAAGGAAGTTGTAGATGCCCCCTCCCTGGAAGTGTTGAAGGCCAGGCTGGATGAGGCTTTGAGCAACCTGGTCTAGTGGAAGGTGTCCCTGCTGATGGCAGGGGGGTTGGGACTGGATGAGCTTTAAGGTCCCTTCCAATCCAAACCATTCTATGATTCTATGTCCTGCCCATCACAGCATCATCTGATCATCATGTAACTTCTGTTGAAATCTAAAGTAATACTCCATCTCCAGGAGCATTTTCAGGATGTCACCAAGAGCCACAGACTGAGTGGGGAAGCAGGGAAGCTTCCTTGACTTTGACATCTTCAGAGAATAATTAGCTGTTCTGCTATCACTATATCACCCTTCAGTCATCAAAGTACCAAACCTTAACTTTCACTACCACGGTCAGCCACAATAGTTAAAAAGAGATCTTGGGGATAATAAAACCACAGGCCTCAAGCACCTGATCATTCTGTAAAAGACTCTCTTGGGAGGCAACAAGGTGAGGCAGGGTGGCCAGAGATTGGCTTCAAAAACCATCAAAGTCATTCAATTTCTAATCTGAAACTTTAGCCATAGACAAGGTAAAAAAAAACTATGTTTATTGTAAGCATATCATTATTGCAGCCTCTTCTTTATGTGTTCACAAAGCACCCAGACATTCTGGGATGTATGTTTTTTCCCTGGATTAAACAAAGGTCATCACTCCAGCTCCTCTACTTCTCCCCCATGATCATACGGGTAGAAGGAGTTAAGATATAAAATGCTTTGGTCAAAACTTTAGTCTGTTTTAATGAAGAATTTCCTGATCTACATTCCAATTACAGTTCTCAGTTTGAATACAGAATACAGCATTGATCCAATGATGGGAGTTCTAGCAGCTTAAAATAGAGATCAACAGACCAAAAGAACCTGCCCTGGAAGTTTTCCTTCCAGAGTTGCTATTTAAAGTAGCATAAACCAATGCAGCAGAGCACAGAATTGGGAGCTGGCACACCTGGATCATATTCTGCTGCTATCCTGTTGCATTATTTCAGATATTTCTTGTCTCCACACTTCTTCCCATTTCTGAACTGTCTCTTGTTAATTCAAATAGCAAATTCTTTAGAACATGTTCTCTCTTATGTGTATGTTTGCACACCAGTGACATGATTGGCATACTGCCTTAAAAAATAAGTGATGGAACACCAAATAGAAAGCAGATCAACATTTATACCTACATTAACTATTGTTATAGGGTCTTTATTTTTGCTAGGAGATGCATCTGGTTTCTCTTCATAGCCTTCAAACTCCTCATCATCATATGGTTCGCTCTCAGTATCACCTTCCTAAAGGATAAAATCACAAACAAGCATGAAAATCCAAAGCCCAGTCAGCAAAAACCAAAAAGATGAGAAAGAAAGGTGCAGAGATACTATAAGGAAACGCACAGAGGAAAAAGCTGAGGCATTACCTGTGCATCTGCATCATCAAAGTCTTCCTGATTCTCATCCTGACCTTCAAGCTCTACAGTGGCTTCTTCTTCATCATCTTCTGTAGTGATGATCCTCTGAGGAGACTCTGTGACTGCATCCTCATTAACATCTTCAAATTCAGCAAAGTCATTATCATCATATTCCATAATGTCATCTCCATCCTCAAAATCATCATACTTTGCCAAAGAAAAACTCCACGGGATGAAGAGGACAGCAATAAAAATATATAAATTCTTCATTTTCACTGAAAAAAAATAAAAATAAAAAAAATAAATCAAACATTGCAAAAAATCAATTCAGTTATATCACACCTCCAGTAACACCCAACTTCCGTGAGCAATTTAAAAACACCATCAGGGGTCAGACCAGAGAAATAAACCCATCTGATCTTGCCATCTTCTGTATAAAGAAACTGAAAAGAAAAAAATAACTGTGTAGGTGAGGTTCTCGACTCTCTTGCTTGCAGCAGCAGCAGCTGAGGGAGCAGCAAGTTCCCATCTTGCCAAGCTGTTGAGATGAGCAGGTTCTGGAAGCAGAGATGTTCTGCTCTAAAACTGACTCTCCTATAGCACCTCAGTCAGTTCAGCATTGCCAGCTCATTTCTGAGACCACACACTGTGCCTGCAGTTGTTATTAATTAGCAATTAGACACAGTCAGATCAACAAATGTGCAACAGCAGTAAATCTTCAAATTAAAATGCATTTAATTCATTTAAACAGCAACACTCCAATAGCCTCTGGTAGTTTAAAAGTGCTCATCTTTGATTAGAATTTCTAGAGTGCATGCTCAGAATCGGGTCCCACAGCACCCCAGCACTATTTCTGTTTAGAGACAGAGACTTTTTGTTGTAAGCTCTTCCAAAAATAAATTAAAAAAAAAAAAAAAAAGCAGGAAGAAGATGGATATTGCACTGGTCCCAAAAACAACAGAGTAAACTGGGGCTCATGAGACCAAAGCTCTCTTCCCAGATCTGCAGAGAGTTTCTTAGTTCACCTTTTTTTGCCCTCAGCTTCATATATCTTTTCTGCTTGGTCTCAAAACGGTGCCAGTCTCCCTCTCAGACTGTACATGATACATTCCCAAGGTCCAAACTAAGCGCCTCAAAGGGCAGCAGTAATTCTACTGCTGCATTTCACAAACAGCTACGCAGGATCAGCCACATCAGACTTGGCAGTAAGTCTCATTTTACTCCTTCCCGCAACCAGATCTGAGTGGGAACTTGAATGTTAACGAGATCATTCTCTGAAAAACTTGAAATAGAAACGATTTGTTACTAAATTAGAGCAGCATTCCTCCGAGTACCACACGCAGGGAACCCACTGCTACGAATGACAAGGATGGCAAATATAAATGCCTTTATCAAAGGCTTCTCATTCTATAGCAAAAACCTGAACACAACACATCCCCAAGAAGATTAATCAAGATGGAAAGTACAGCGAGGCAGAGCCCAGGAATTGAGCATATTGGATGTCACAATTTTATGTGAATTTAAACAGAAAAATTAAACACTATTTATATACGACAGAATTTGCATTCAGAGCCAACTGCTCAACCAAACCCCAACAGTTTCACAGGAAGAATTTTGAGATTATTTGAGTACAGCCACTTTCAAAAGACCCTACAACTCCATAAAGCTTTACAGAAAATAAACTTCTGCAGCTGATTCTAAAGCAACAGTAGAACTAGAGCTGGGTGAAAACGAGAACACACTCCTAACTCAGCCGTCTCTGTCACCAGGCAGAGCGAGTTGTAAATACCAACAACTCCACCAAGCAGAACACGCTCCGGCAGGCCCCCGCCATCCACACGCCACCGACTCTC